AGCACTGGCCGATTTTCAAGCGACCATCTAATTTGGGTGATGGGGCATGTTGGAAATTTTTTGAAAAATGAACGAATATCTAATCAATGATGGGAGAATCGTGCAAGAAATGAAATTGAAAAAGAAATGAGAATGAGCTGCGACGAGAAAGAAAAGAAAATTCTTGCCACAAAAATTCTTTTCTTTAGCAACACGAGTTGAAATTAAATGCTTATTTGGTCAAAATTCAAAATCAGTAGTGACATCATCAGATTAAAAGCGCACCAAATTTCTGATTTTCTAAACAAAATTTGTTTAGAATTCAACTCATGTATGGCCTGCATATGCATTTCATGGAATTAGGTTAACTTTGACAGTTGTGTAGGAAATACCAGAAAGCACACAATATTGTATGCATGTATATATTAAAGGGGAACTTTTGTCTTTTACCCCCCCCGGTCACATCAAGCCCAACTTTGAAATCGTGCAACTTACAGTAAAGTTGCATGATTTCAAAGTCGGGTGAGATACCGATTTCAGGTGCGATTTGCAAGACATCAGACATAGATGTCTATGCAAATCGCACTAAAAGTAGTACATGTACTTCTTTAGAAATCGGTGCGGATCCAGCCAAGTCAAAACCGAACTGATTTGACCGCTCTAATTGCAGACAATGGGGGTGCGACTTGGCATACCATTTGCAAGTCGCATGGCATGCAAATTGCACCTGATGTGACCGGGGTGTAAATGATTTTTCATTTGTATATTTAAAAAAAAAACGTAAACGTGTATCTATGGTAAAAAAATCACATCCATTTTATAATTTTCACATTGTATTTCAATTATTTCTAGCCTGTTCTTAACCACTTGCCCTCCTGAGGATTTTACCCCCCCCTTCCTGACCAGGCCATTTTTTGCGATATGGCGCTGCGTTCACTGACAATTGTGCGGTCATGCAACACTGCATCCACGTGAAATTTATGTCTTTTTTCCCCCACAAATGGAGCTTTCTTTCGGTGGTATTTGATCGTCTGTGCGATTTTTATTATTTGTGCTATAAACAAAAAAGGCCGACAATTTTGAGAAAAAAAAAACAATATTTTTGATTTTTTGCTTTTAAAACATGTCCAGTAAAAAAAATTTAAAAAATAAAATTCCGTCATAAATTTAGGCCAAAATGTATCTTGATATATGTCTTTGCTAAAAAAAAAAAAAAAATCCCAATAAGTGTAAATTAATTGGTTTACGTGAAAGGTATAGCATCTGCAAATGGCGGTGTATATACACTGGAATTTTTTTTTTCTATACTAGTAATGGTGGCGATCAGCGACATATAGCGGGACTGCGGTAGGCATTCTGACACTGTGGGGGAACTGACTGTCACTGACACTAGTGATTAGTGATAATAAAAAGCACTGACACTGTACTAATGGCACTGCGCAGGAAGGGGTTAACATCTGGGGTGATCAAAGGGTTAACTGTGTGCTGTTTTACTGTGTGCTGTGTTTTACAGTGTAAGCATGATGCTTTGTATTGCTCTGCTATGCAGAGCTGGAGCTGACAGGGGAGAGATTTCTATTGTTTACATACAAACCTCTCCCCCATCAGTGATACTTGGCGATCACTGGGTGCAGTGGGGAATCACCGGCCGGGACCCGGTGATCTACAGCTGAAGCCACCAATGGCGATGCAGGTAGGGCAAGCGCACCCCCTAACCAGAAATGCAAAATCACGTATATCCACTTCAATACCGGGCACTTTTACCCCCTTTCCTGCCCAGGCCATTTTTCAGGTTTTAGCGATCTCACACTTTGAATGACAATTGCGCGGTCATACAACATTGTACCCAAACTAAAATTTATCATTTTCTTCACACAACTAGAGCTTTCTTTTGGTGGTATTTAATCACCACTGGGGTTTTGTTTTTTTCTAAATTAATAAAAAAAAAGACCAAAAATTTTGAAAAAAAAACCACGTTTTACTTTGTTTCTGTTATAAAAGTTTGCAAATAAATAATTGTTCTTCCTAAATTTAGGCCGAGATGTATTCTGCTACATGGCTTTGGTGAAAATAACCCAAATTAGGTTGTATTATTTAGTCTGTAGGAAAGTTATAGAGTTCACAAACTATGGGATAGATCTGAATATTGATCAATCCTGAATTACTGACAGCCAATCTAATTTCTTGAGGTCCAAGAATATCAAACAGTACAGATATCCCCCAAATGACCCCTTTTTGCAAAGTAGAGAGTCCGACGTATTTCATAACAGGCATGGTGAGTTTTTTGAAGTTGTAATTTTTTTGTCATAATTTTTCGGAAAATTAAAAAATTAAAAAAATTATTTTCACTATTTTTTTTCTTACATACTGTCACCAGTGCAGTACAGAATCATCATACAACTGGCATGGCGGTGATCAGGGACACTGGTGACAGTATGAAAAAAAAAAAAAATTTTTTTTTATTAGTTTTAATTTATTACATTTTTTTTTTTTTTTTAAGATTTTTTTTTAATATTTCACTATGACCAAAGTAGTACAATGTTACCATAGTAAACCTGTACTACTTTGGGGAAGTGATCAGTATTTTTTTTTTTTTTTACACAATTTGCTTATAGCAAAGAATTGCGCGGTTCTGTGGACATGCAAATTGTGCATGCCTGAAAGGACGCCATATGGCGTCCACCCAGAGGGACGAGGGGCTTTGCAGGCCGCCATCTGGCTATAGGCCGGGCGGGAAGCTGTAAATACACACGATTTTGCACAGCCCTGCCGCCCTGTAGCAGTATTTCCTGCTATAGGGCAGCAAGCAAGTGGTATAATCTGAACGACCCTGAAGTTTGTAAACTTACTTTGTGAAGATTCCCACATATTCACTTCCTTGAATTCTGTGACTCGCATCTCTATGACCTGTGAGTAGGCACTGCTGTGTCACACATTTCACAGAGCCTGCCTTCTGAACTAGAGTTGCTAATAGGAGGAGTTTCAGGAGGTGGATTCAGTACAGGAATAAATTCTTGCAGGCAAGGTACCATGGGATATGTAGTCCTTAGAATTTGAAAGTAAACCGCAGTGGAAAAGCTGCAAAGCATGCAGGGAATCCAGGAAGTTGTGGAAAGAGATGACCAGCAGACAGTCAGTACTCACTATATGAAAGGAGATTTTTCAGGTAAGAGTATATTGGATTGTCAAAAATAAGAGGGTTGGGACTGATATGAATGTACAATATACATATGTAAAGCGCTGTGTAAACTTACGGCGCTATACAAGTACCTGTAATAAACAAATCATTATTGTTAGTATTGCCATTACAATGATGATATCAAATAAACTATGCTGTGACCACTTCCTATGACAATCTAAATACTGTACATGTTAATGTATCATTTACCTATGCATAAATAATGAGTTGTGTTTTTAATATTCTGATCTCACTGTTGACTAAGACCTCATTTACACGGGGCATACTAAAGAGAACGCCCCTGGAGGGCTGTGTTAACCCACTCAGGGGTACACAGGTGTCAGAGTTGCATAGCTATCAATTGAGACACAGAGGCTGGACGGACACACACACACTTTTAGCCATTAGACCCTGCAGGCTGATCTTCCAGAAATGCTCAGTGCGTAAATCCAGTTATGGACAATGCACAGCTTTTTGTGTATCGAGTGGTGTCAGCCCTGCACTGTTGTCTTCTGCCGTATAATAAACTCCTCCCACTTTCCACAAAATAGGGACTTATTGCTCTATAGTCTAAGATAAGAGCTGGGAGGCGCTATTTAGGCTCCTTAACGTGGCACTAAACCCTTCTATCCTTTACAGCCAAGGAAGCCGACATCTTTGCCTATGTTTGATCTGCAGTTGCCACGGTGCTGAACACCTGATCAGTTATGATAACTGATAATTGATGGCTTGACAGTTTGGTTGACAGCCCAAACAACTGTGAAAATGATTATTCATGGCATGTCTTGAATGTAATGGTTTTGGGAAACTGTTAAATCAATGGGATTAGTTCTGTTTTAAGATAGCACTTGAAATGTGCACAGGACAGCTCTGAATTTATGACATGAATCAAACCGTTGTAACAAAATAATTCCAATGATATATTAACTCCTTGACGCCAATCGCACGCAAATATGCGGCCTCTCGGCATCTGGGCCTTGACGCCGAGCAGCCGCATATTTGCGCACAATTAACTAGTTGCCGACCGCAGAAAGCCGAATGACGGCTGCACTGCTAGGCATTGACTGGTGCAACTGCTGGGCACTGACTGGCAGCACTGCTGGGCTGCACTGATGGGCACAGGTGGGTGGCACTGGTGGGCACAGGTGGGTGGCACTGGTGGGTACAGGTAGGTGGCACTGCTGGGTGGCACAGGTGGGCGCACTGCTGGGCACAGGTGGGCGGAACTGGTGGGTGGCACTGCTGGGCACCAATCATCAGGGCACTGATCATCAGTGCCCTGATGATTGGTGCTGATCCCTGCTCTGACAACTGCCGGTTCTCGGCAGTACTTTCCTCACGCTCTGACAGCGGGAGGAAAGTGCAGCTGAGAACCGGCAATTGCATTTCCCGGTGATCAGCGTGTCATTGGACACGGCTAATCACTTGGTAAAAAGCCGCTGTGATTGGCCTTTTACCACATCATGTGATCAGCTGTGTCCGTAGGACACAGTGATTACGGAGATCGCCTGGGTGAGCGCCCCCCGGAGAGTGCGTTCTGGGTGGACGTCATATGACGTCCTCCCAGAACTCGCTCTCCTGCGCGCCCAGGAGGCGCGCACCCGGCAATCTCCGTGATCGCTGTGTCCTACGGACACAGCTGATCATGTGATGTGGTAAAAGGCCAATCACAGCAGCCTTTTACCACGTGATCAGTGGTGTCCAATGACACGCTGATCAGAGGGAAATGCAAGTGCCGGTTCTGGGCTGCACTTTCCTCACGCTGTCAGATCGTGAGGAAAGTACTGCCGAGGACCGGCAGTTGTCAGAGCGGGGATCGGCACCGATCATCAGGGCACTGATGATCAGTGCCCTGATGATCGATCCCAGCAGTGCCACCCGCAAGATCCGCCCACCTGTGCCCAGCAGTGTGCCCACTAGCTCCGCCCACCTGTGCCCAGCAGATCACCCACCTGTGCCCAGCAGTGCACCCACCTGTGTCCAGCAGTGCACCCACCTGTGCCACCTCTGCAGTGTCACACACCTGTGCCCAGAAGTGCCACCTACCTGTGCCCAGCAGTGCCACCCACCTGTGCCCACCCACCAGTGCTGCCCACCAGTGCCACCCACCAGTGCAGCCCAGCAGTGCTGCCCACCAGTGCCACCAGTCAGTGCCCAGCAGTTGTGCCAGTCAGTGTCCAGCAGTGATGGCAGTCCAGTGCCATCTATCAGTACCCATTATCAGTGTCACCTATCAGTGCCGCCTATCAGTGCTGCATATTAGTGCCGCCTATCCGTTGACACCTCATTAGTGCTGTCTATCAGGTGCCGCCTATCCGTGCCACCTCATTAGTACTGCCTATCAGTGCCCTTTAGTGCTGCCTATCAGTGCCCATCAGTGCTGCCTCATCAACGCACATCAGTGAAGGAGAAAAATTACCTGTTTGAAAAATTTTATAATAGAAACAAAGAAACTTTTTTTTTTTTTTTCAAATTTTTTGCACTTTTTTTTATTTTAGGGCAAAAAGTAAAGTGCCCAGTGGCGATTAAATACCACCAAAAGAAAGCTCTATTTGTGAGAAAAAAATGATCAAAACATATGGGTACAATGTTGCATGACCGCGCAATTGTCAATCAAAGTGCGGCAGCGCAGAAAATTTGGCCTGGTAAATAAGGGGGTATAAGTGCCTGGTAGGCAAGTGGTTAAAAAAAGCCCTCCCAGCACATATATCCGCTACTCCTGGAAAGGTCCCGATCTCCCATTTCGTTTGGGACCTTTGCCGATCATGTGACTGCCATGATGGCGAATCACGGCGGTCACATGACCCTAAAACCCCGCTCCGCCTCCTGAAACTCTTAAAGGGCCGAGAGGCGCCGGCGTCAAGAGGTTAAATAATATAAGTTTTGTTTATTGCTATGGTTTACATACACTAACTGACAATGCAATTTTTGACATAAAGTGTAACTGCTCCGCCTGGACAGAGTAAAATAAATAGTTTTTTTTTTTTTTTTAGATCACCAAATAGATATAAAACTGGAGGTAATGGACAGGTTGCATCTATGCATCTCAAGAATTTGTTTCTCAGGTTTGACTGGAGCATACTCTTAAGGGCAGAATGTAGTTTGACATTTTTTAAAAATGAACATCTGAAAAATCCTATTCCAATATTTATTATAACTGGTGATCTTTAGGGGACTCAGAACCTTGGGTCTTGTGGGGAAAAGAAGGCTCCTCTCCAATAGGCTCCCTTTGTGATAGGTCCCCCACAGTTTCTGCTCAAGTTTCAGCCAAATCGCACTTGGGCATTATTACATACAATGCAAGACCCAACAGTCCATATGACCATCCTATAAAACCAAAGCGCCGAAGAGAAGAAAAGCAATAGCAGAACAAGGGATAGGGTTATACAGCCCTTTTCTCTAACACCTTCCCCCAGTTAAAGTGTAAGTTCACCTTTTCAAAAAAAAAAAAAAAAATTAAAAAAAGTGAATAATCCACACCCTCTGGTCCCCAGGGTGTATTTAGTTTCCGTGCTGCCCTAGGCAACCCAAAAATGCCCCCCCCCCCACAGAGAGACCCTGACACCCGCCAATACCCCCCTCCCGCACGAAGAGAGCCTGACATTGACCAACAACCACCCCAGCCTCTCCCGTCCCCTCCTGAGAGAGCCTTCCACTATCACCGCCCCCCTTACAAAATGCTGCTGTCCCCCTGAAAAATTCCACCCTAGGCAAATGCCTTGTTTGCCTTGTGGTAAATACACCTCTGCTGGTCCCCACTGTACTTACCTCCATGGGTAATACCCATGCAGCCAGTGGTCCAGAGATATGAAATCCCCGCTCTTCCCCTCTACTTTCTGTAGATTTCTGATTGGTCAGTGCAGGCACAGAGACTCAGATCAGTCCCAGAAGCACTGCACAAAGAAGAGGGAGAAGAGCAAGAATATCCAATCCCCAGACCACTAAACTGGTTGCATAGGCAGTGACGGTTCATCACCTGTGGAGGTAAGTACAGCATGGTCTGGGAGGAATATGGGTGGGACGATGTTCACCTTTTCATTTTACTTAAAAAGGCATTGCATTTAACTCTTGCAATGCTGTGAGCCCCAACTGCAAGGATGTTTTTTGTGTAACTCCCACAGTTCAGCTTTAAGATTTGGCACTTCAGCCCCTATGTGATTTCTGCTTAAAGTGGAACTTCACTGTCTCAATCAACATTGATTATTTCTAATCCTTATGCTGCTAGCATTAGTAAATAGATAGGAAAGTAGATCATATTTACTTGTTGTAACCTTTTTTTTTTTTGCATTCTTTCATTTACTTTCTGGTTTCCGTGCCTAGGCAAATGATGTCATACATCCCAGGAGTCTTCAGGAAGGGAGGGAGGGTTCTGAGCTAAGGACAGATGGATTCCAAGAAGTAACTGCTACATGAATCATCTGCCCTTACTCAAAATGGCCATTTTTCAAAATGATTTCTCAGCAAAATAAAGCATGGAGACATGGATGAATGGAGGAGTTTGCTTTGAATATTAAAAATGAATTATACAGCATTTTTGGTTTGTGGTACTCGGATGCAGTGCAGTTCCACTTTACCACCTTCCTGCCCGGCCTATAACAGATAGACGGCCGGGCGAGACACTCGCCGTTGTGACTGGGCGTCATATGGCGTCCTGTCAAAACGAGGCGCTCACACACGGCCGCGCGTTCGTCACCGGCTTTGTCCACGGGACACAGCCGATGACATATCACTATACCGGCCTGTTGCCAGTGTCATGTAACCACTGTGACCAATCACAACAGATCACATGTCAATTGTTTACAAACGGATGGCTTCCTGTCATGCCACCCATTGCATACAATTATGTTGTTAGCTGTGACTGGTCAAGACAGTCACATGATACAGACAGGGCCAATCACAGCCCATCTGTATTATGTGATTATCTTTGCCCAATCACAGCTAATCACAACAAAAGACTGAATGAATCAGTTTCATTTAGTAACAATGATTGCAAATATGAAAGAAAACATTGGTATTAGCAATCATAATGTGTTAAAAAAAAAAAAAATCCTGATCACTTGCCCAGAGTTCAGTGTTACTATGGCAACATTGTATTGCTTTGGCCACAGTGTGCTGAAAAATAAAATAGGAAAAAAATGTGATAAAAAATTTAAAAAAAAATAGCAACATTTGAAAAAAAAAATACAAATTCAATTATTATTATTATTTTCACCAAAGAAATGTAGCAGAATACATTTTGACCTAAATTTATGAAGAAATTTTTTTATTTAGCAATATTTTATAACAGAAACAAAAAAGTGTGGGTTTTTTTTTCAAAAGTTTCAGGTGTTTTATTTAGCAAAAAATAAAAAACAAAAATAAAAGCAAAAACTCAGTGGTGATTAGATACCACCAAAAGAAAGGTCCATTTGTACAAAAAAAAATTACAAAAATTTCATATGGGTACAGTGTCACATGACAGCGCAATTGTCTCAGTGTGTGACAGCACTGAAAGCTGAAAATTGGCCTGGGCAGGAAGGGGGTAAAAGTGCCCGGTATTGAAGTGGTTAAGAAAATGATTACATACAAATAATTTCAGAGTGAAGATTAAGTCTTGTATGCCAGCTACTTGAAGCTCTTTTCCTTACTTATGTGTCAGTTTAGATTTAAACTTCTGCAGGGTTTCAAGATCAGTAGTTTATCATGTTGCCAAAAATTCTGTACTGAATAATCAGATCTGTTCTAATGTTTGTATCTTTAGGCTCCATGCACACTGGGTGTTCTAATAATGCTGGTATCGTTAGCTGTGTAAAGTCACGTTAAAAACGTGAGTTTTTTTAGCGTTTTTGCATTAGCATTGTTTTGCCACGGTTGCATTTTTTAGGAGTTTTTTTTTTCTCAAAAAAAGTCCAAAAATGCTGGTTTGCGGCAATTTACCGCATTTTTTTTTTACCGATAGAGCATTTTTACTGCTAAAAAACTCCTCTAGAAACCCACTAGTTCTGGGGTTTTTTTTTCCAGCCAAAAAATGCTGATTGCAGTCTGTTTGCATGGACACATAGGATAACATACTGGGGGTTTACTGGCTGTAGAAAAAAACATAAAAATCCAAAAACAGCAACTGTAAAAAAGACTTCTAGTAATGCTTGTAATCTGATTGTACTGGTCCTGCCGAAGTTTTACAAACTAGAGATTTCTGGGTCAGACTTTTCAGGAACATCTGTGGGCATTTCCCTGGATGAAGAGAAAAATGTCAGCATGTACACGCCTTAGGATGAATAAATCCCGTATAAGCGCTTTTGTCGCCAAAGTGATTTCTTTTAAAATTACTTCCCTTAAAAGTGAAACCATTACATCCAAGTTGTCAATGTTTCCATTTTAGCAACTCACAAAACGCAATAGATCACTGACTAAAGTATGACTAATAAAGCGGTAATAATCCCAAAAACAAAAATGTATTGTATTGCAACTTACCAATTGTTAGATGTGGTAGCTGCAGTCCTTTTGTTATTTAGGCTTTTTTTTTATTTATTTTCACCTGGGGATCCAAACAGTAAGTCTGATTTTTCAACTTACTTTTACAGACTAAGCTGTCCAGCAAAAGTGGCAGTTAGAGGGTTGAGACAAACCATTTACCACTGACAGGCGTGCTTACAATTATCAGCTTTTATTCATTTGTGTAAAACTTTTATTCTAAATGGAAAAAACGAAATTCTGTACCTGCTTATAAGGCCTTTCAGCAAAAAAAAAAAAAAAAAAGTCTGATGCTTGTAAAAGTGTGTAAACACATTTAGTTCCATCAAGCATTTGGGCATGAATTCATTTCATTGGCAAGAATAAATAATTTATTCTGGCCACTGAAATGAATTAACATCCAAGCGTTAAAATACACATAGCATAAACACACATTTAGAAATTTTTTTCTGCCAAAACTCTGCTGCTCCTTGATGCACTGGCAGTGGGTTTTTTTCCTGTCTCTAAACTCTCCTGCCACTAAGCATCTCTAAACGTTTGTGTATATGAACACATAGGCTAACATGCAGGGGAGTTTAGAGCCAGAAAAAAAAAAAAACTGCCGACGCCCCTAGAAGCAGCTATAAATCATCCAGTGTGCATAAAGCCTGAAGTGTTAGCTGGAGTTCCCTTTTACTGAAGTGTTAGCTGGAGTTCCCTTTTAATTTGTTAGTCTATCTTTTCACCAGATTGACAATGCCAAATGTCCAAAGGTGTCTCACTTGGTCCTTCATCCAGAGTGGAGACACCCTAAGACAGGAAGAGTGATACTGGCCGGTTCATCAGTTGAAAATAATGGGGAGAAAGCCTAAAAAGAAAAACTAATGTAGCCACCACATTAAAGGACCAGTAAGTGGCAATATATAAAATATATTTTTTAAGGTTAAAAGGATAAGTTCACCTATAGGGAAAAAATAATAAATGCACATATTTTT